TAAAGATCCCTTGGTGGTCTAAAATCGATAAGAGTAGGCTTCGGCCGCCACCCGGGCAAAATTCAAAATTTCCTACCAACTGAAAATATTAGGAGTGTCCCACGCGCTCATATGACCTATGCAGTTGCGAGCGCCGTAAAACACTTTACAAAAACAACAAAAAACCCAGATGCACCATTCTCCTTCTTCAAGAGATAATACATACATATTATTAGGTCTATATCAAAGAGTTTTTTTTAAACATAATTACTGCTCAGGGTTCGTTTAAGTGAGTGTTTTGTGGCACTTGCAACACAATAAGGTCATATAACTGCCGAATATTAGAGGTGTTACAAGAGGGTAACAAACACAAAAAAAGAAGGAGAGATAAGGACGATAGATGTTTGATAGGATAGAAGGAGCAAACCACACCAGAGCACCCGCCAACCACCCATGCTCAGAGTTCGTGGCAGTGATGTCCCCCACGTAAACGAACAGGGCCTGCGCGTGCCCACTCTGGGACGCTGAACCTCAAAGGCAAGATATGCGCAGTTCAACAGACTGGCGAGTACTTTTTGAGATCCACGTGAAGACGTCTTGGCGCTCTTAGGAGGAAATCTACAAGGTTACACTGAAATATAAGGGCAGGATGGTGTTTCATATACACTAGAAATCGTGGGGAGCGGGGTGACTGCTCTGATTGTTCATGTCAATTTTAAAGGGCGCAAGCGGCAATGCCGAGGAGCGTAAGAAGGCAGCCATGTACATGTATTACACGTCGTGTAATGTCACTGCTGCGAGCTCAAGTATTATAATAATATAGGCCTATAGTTATCCATCCTATTTGGTCTATATATCAAACTCACCCTTTGGAAAGCCTTGAGCAAGACCTTGGTACGACCAAAGTCCGTGATACTCATGTCCTTGAGCAAGGCGGAAATGAAATCTTTACAGAATGTGTATGAGACCTGTGGAAAAGAAAGTAGATTACAGTAAAAATGTGTGTTTTTATTGTATTTAATTATTTTTTTTACGGCACTTGCAGCACAGTTAGGTAAAACAAGTGCAGAAGGTTAGAAAAGTGACAAAAGAGTACACAAGAAAGGAGGAGGAGATATATATGGACGAAAAGGAGCAATACAGCAGCCAAAGAAGCCAACTGAAAAAACAAACAAACAAAGAAAACAAAACAAACCAAAACAAAACAAAACACACAATTATTACACAAAAATCATAATGGATACACGTTAATAGATTCACACAATTCTTGTCGATATCATCAAACACGACATTAATCCGCAATAAACCCTTCTGTTTCCCGTTTATGGTGAAGCGATGCAACGCTTTCCTCAGATTCCCGAGAGAGAAAATAAATTATAGATCTATTTTATCGAGTATTTGTGTCTGTTCGACGGGATGCTGTTTTTAGTTTTAGTAGAGGTTTTACGGCACTCGCAAATGCACAAGGTCATATGAGCGCCAGAAGGTTAGAGGTGTTTCAAGAGAGTTACAAACCTAAAAAGAAAAAGGGGAGATAAGGACGATAAATGTTTGATAGGAAAGAAGAAGCAAACCACACCAGAGCACCCACCAACCAACCACTGGGATATTGTGCACATGTATCTAAACCCTGCACGGGTCGACCCTGACATGCACGGCCGTAGCAGGCAGCATTCTTACTAATCAAATAGTGTCGAAGTGAGGGAAAAATATCCCCAATCTTCATACGTCTGTAATTGTAATGTTTTAGCAGGTGTCTTACGGCACTTGCAACACAATTAGGTCATATAAGTGCAGAAAATTTGAGGTGTTACAAAAGAGTAACAAACATAAAACGGATAGATAAGGACAACAAATGTTTAACCGGAAAGAACAAGCAAACCACACGAGATAACCCGCCAACCACCTGCTGTAATTAATTGTAAGAACATAATATTACTATTGCTAATACGATTGGCAGCAGTGTTATTGTTTTCAGAATGAAAGGAAATGTATGCTGTGTACTTGACAGCAGCAATATAATAAATCGGAATATAGATTAAGTAACTCAGCTAAACAGATGGGTGCGCCACTTATATCCCACACAGCGAAACGACAAACCAGCGATGAGACATTATCATTGGACGTTCTTTTTGAACCCCGTTCTCAGAATGGCGTAAGAATTTCCATAATATAAATTATTCAGTCTAGACATCCAGTGAGAGAGTCTTGGCTCGCTCCGTTCATATTTCATCATTATTTTTCTCAACCCCGATTCGATTTCTGGAAACAGATACAAGTCAAACAAATTACGGTTCCAGTTTCACCAGACTTTTCATACTTATGAGGACCAACTGCGCCCAAGTGGTAAAGCTCCAGTGATTTTGGTTTGAAGTACATAAAAACAAGTCTAACCAACAACTGTCTGGTAGAAATGAGGG